TCAATGTTTATTGCAGCATTATTCACGATTGCCAAGACATGGAACCAACCTAAATGTCCACAAACTGATGAATGGATTGGAAAAGTGTGGCATATATACTCTGTGGAATACTACTCAGCCATAAAAAAATAACAAGATCCTGGCATTTGATAGGAAGTGGTCAGATATGGAGGATCTATTGCTGAGTGAAGTAAGCCAGGTTATGAAAGAAAGATATTGTATGTATCCACTTAATATATACCGACTATCCACACTCTATGGTAGAGAGCGAAATATTGGAGGACATAAAAGCAGTGAAAGTACTTAACAAGAATAAGACAGTGTGGAATTAGGGGGGTGAAGAGAAGAGGATAGGGAAAAATAGCAAGAGAACAAATAGAGAGGCATGACATTAGTGGGACACAGATATGGCTTATTACCTGTTGATGACATGTATAGTATTCTCAACTGGACTGGTCTGAGAAGTATTTCATGATGGGTAAAGTCTTTTTACAAGCAAAATGAGAAATAGTGATTGGCTGTTTAAAAAAATAATTGGAATAATAGTAATAATGATTGGGAAAAACAATGAAAATATATTGAATGATGAAATGGGGATTTTAATGTCTCAGTATTGACTGACATGCATGGCATTCCCTTTTGAAAAAGCAATGTATGGGAACCAGCAGTTAGCATAATGGCTATGTCGCTGGACTCCCACGTAGTCGACTGCAGTTCGCGTCCTGAACCCGGTGGCTTAAAACTCACGCCGGGCGCGTGTGCATGTGTGCCCAAGATCCCGAGAGGAGAATGGAGAAGGGATTGTGGCATGACCATCCCCCTGGGGGGGTAATTTCTCGCTTTCTGTCTCTATGTCTCTCTTTTTCTATCTGGCGAGCGCACGTGCCCTATAGCGAAAACCTCTCCAAAAAAAAAAAAAAAAAAAGCAATGTATTACATTTTAAAGTTATATGCAATTCAATGTAATATAAACAAGATTATGGTGATAATAAATAAACAAAAAATAAAATAAAAAAATAAGTTTGACTATGAAAAAAGAAATGTGTGTGTGTGTGTGTGTGTGTGTGTGTGCCCAAAATCCTGACACAGTGGTATAATTAAAGAGAAGGTATTACAGCATGACACACCCCACTGGAGGACTTCCCCCTCCCCCATTCTCTCTGTCATTTTTGGCAAGTGCTGTGACTTCTGACAATTAAAAAATAATGTTCTTCACCTACGAGTTCTGGAATCATACTTAAGAAATATGGGGGCAATGAATAGATTTCCCATGTGAGCCAATAAATTTCTTTTTTAAATTAAACCACTGTGGGTTCATTATCTATTACTTGAAACTAAATAGCAACTTATAATTTCCCTTTCTTGTAAAAGTGTGGGTAAAACAGGCATTCCATATACCATTGCTGGTAGAATTATGGACCATTACAGTATTTTTAAATTGTAATCTCTCTGATGCAAATACAATTAAAATATAGCAAATTCCCTTTTGAAAATTTTTGTCCCAGAAATAATAGCACTATATAAGGTATGTCTAGTAATAGCACTATATAAGGTATGTCTAATAACAGCACTATATGAGGTATGTCTATTAGGATGTGTTCTTTGCTACAGTGAACAGAAAATTTTAGTTAACTTAAACAAGAAGAAATATATATCTTACCTTAAAGGAAGTCCAGAAAAGCAAGGCAGATTGGAAAATTGGGGTATTGTGCAGAAATCTCATCCAGAAAGAACTCTGGCTCCTTCTCTATTTTTTCATTGTTGTTGTCGCTTGCCTCTTTGGGCCGGAGCAAGGTGTTTGAAGTAGTTTTGAAGTAGTTTTGGACATCACAGCCAGCTTCCTTTATATTTATTTGCTAGAACTGTGCCGTTTGTCCATTCCTCACTGACTCACAAGGCGGTGAAACCATTCTTGGCAGTGACTAGTTATCTAGAAGTGGTTGTCAGAGGCAGCTGGGTCTGACTCACAGGACTGCCCACAATGATACACATGCATGCGTATGTACGCATGGGTATTTTCTGCAGCCTTGTTGTTTGTGTCTATTAGTAGTGAGCTCACTGGATAAATTATGGTCTTCCCATACTGTGAAATATTTCACAACTTTAAAAGACATTGAGTTAGATATTAATGCATTGATTTGGAAAAATCTTCATAATGTGCCACTAGGTGAATAAGCAAGTCTCAAACATCTGTGTACAGAGTGATCACATTTTTCTTGGAAGAAAGAATATCGTTTCTGACGTGTGTGTGTGTAGTAGTAGTAGGTCGTAGTAGTAAGTATAAAGAAAGGTGTCAAAGTAAATGCACCAAACTGTTAAGACTGATTACCTTCATGTTTATGTACCAAACTGTTAACAGTAGTCTCCAGACAGTTTAAAAAGTAAAATACATGTTTTAACTCAATGTGTGATAATAATTTTGATACAAGTGTTGTTATGAAAAGAACTACATTTTATTGAGGAAATGTCAAAACGTCACTCATTAAAAAGTGCAGTCAGGTGGCTTGGTAGTTAAAGGCGCTGGACTCCCACAGCGCCAATTGCGGTTCAAGTCCTGGACCTGGTGGCTTGCTTTGTCAGTTTTCCTCTCTCTCTCTCTGATAAAACTGGAAAATAATAATAGTAATAATAATAATTAATAAAGTTAAATAAAATAATTGTTTAATAAAAAGTAAAGTGCATGGGAACCAGCAGTTAGTGTAATGGCTATGTGGCTGGACTCCCATGTAGTTGACCACGGTTCGCGTCCCGGACCCGGTGGCTTAAAACTCACGCCGGGCGCATGTGCGTGCGTGCCCAAGATCCCGAGAGGAGAATGGAGGAGAAGGGATTGAGGCGTGACCATCCCCCATGGGGGGTGATTTCTTGCTTTCTGTCTCTATGTCTCTCTCTGTCTGGCGAGCACATGCGCCCTATAGCGAAAATCTCTCTCAAAAAAACAAAAGTAAAGTGCAGTCTCAGAATCACCTCCGTGCTTCCTCCACTCCTTCCTTAGAGGCAAGGGCACAGTAGGGCACGTGAAGTCATCCTCAGGAGATCCCAGACCAGCCACCGGGACCGTGTTGGCCAAGACCAAGAGCTAGAGACCTTGGAGTACAACTTCTACAAGGTCAACAAGCACCCAGACCCTACCATGCTGTGCCTCATCATGGCCACGGCCGGCTTTTCCAAGGAGGAGATCCAGAAATGGCTTATGCAGCATCAGGCTGGTGGTGGCCTTCGGATAGCCTGCCTTCAAAGCCCACATCTGTTACAGACTGAGGAGACAGTGGGTGATGGGAGTGGTGCCATGAAAACCTTCTGCTGGCTCTCCCCTGACCTCCAGCTGCGTGGGTTTGCAGTGAGGCGTCGTCTCTTCCATTGTTAGCTGTCCTGCTATTTAACACAGTGTTGTGATTTTTAAAATGTACACAACTAGAAGAGAAAATAACTGTAGGGAGGTATGAACAGCTTCTGTGTAGAGCTCCTGCTTGGCTGGGGAGGTGGGGTGCCTTGCATTACCTTTTTGGGTCATGGTGGCAAGTGATGTGGCGACCACTCAAGTTTGCTTTTGACCATTGTGGCCCAAATACGATTTGCTTTCACCACTCATCTAGAGCAAGCAAGGCCTCTTGTTGAAAAGCTACCAGGAGCAGCAGCTGGCATAATGGCTATGTTGCTGGACTCCCATGTAGTTGATCGTGGTTCAAGTCTGGACCTGGTGACGTAGACTCACACCGGTCACGTGTGTGCGTGCATGCCCAAGATCCCGAGAGAGGAGTGGAGGAGAAGGGATTGCAGCCTGGCCATCCCCTCTGGGGGGTGATTTCTCACTTTCTGTTTCTCTGTGTCTCTCTGTCTTTCTGGCAAGCGCATGCACCCTATAGCAAAAACCTCTCATTAAAAAAAAAAAAAAAAAAAGAAAGAAAGAAAAAAGAAAAAAGAGAAAGAAAAGCTTTGATAGAGAGGGGAAAACATTTCCTTCTGATCCCATTTCCCAAAGTCATTTTCCTAATGTTTCACTGCATATGATGGTGAAGTGAGAATGCAGAGGGGTACATGAGTGATTCAAATTTCATAAAACAAAGTCTTGATGTATGGCTGCATTATCCAGAAAAATACTCAGGCTAGAAAACGGAAATTCCAACTGGCAGAAAAGAAGTAACTAAGAGAAGATTCACAAAATCTCTTGAATTTACCTTATTTAAATGCACTTGTGAAGTTTATTTTGCTAAATTAAATGAACTGGTTTCACCTCTAAAATGATGTTCTAAGTAAAACGTTTACTTTTTGTTGAAAAGGAAAAAAAAAAAGAAAGAAAGAAAGTGCAGCCTTGGGACTAGCAGATGGCATAATGGTTACATTGCTGGACTCCTACATGGCCGATCATGGCTCAAGTCCCATACCCAGAGGTTTGAATCTCACACCAGGTACATGTGCGTGTGTGCCCAAAATCCGGAGAGGAGAATGGAGGAGAAGGGACTGTGGTGTGGCCATCCCCATTAGGGGTGATTTCTCTTTTTTTGTCTCTCTGTTTCTTCCTGTCACTCTGGTGAATGCACACTCCCTATAGCAAAAATATCTTAAAAGAAAAAATAAGTACAGTCTGGAGCCCAACAGATGGTGTGGTGGCTAGGGTGTTGGACTCCTACATGGCCAACAACTGTGGTTTGAGTTCTAGTCCTGGTGGCTAGCTTTCTCACTTTCTCTCTCTCTCTTTCTCTTTGGTGAGTGCACATGCCCTATAGCAAATTAATAATAATAATAAAAAATAAACAAAATTTAAAAATTCTTTTTTTTAAAGTACTGTTTGTGGACCAGCAAGTGGCATGGAGTTTCAGGTGCTAGACTCCACATTGGCTGCTGCACTGTTTGAGTACCAGACCTTGTGGCTTGAAAATCATACCAGGCACCCATGCGTGTATGCCCCAAATCCTGAGAGGAGTCTGGAGAAAGGATTGTGGCCTGGTCATCCGGGGAGGGGGAGTGATTTTTCACTTTCTCTCTCTGTTGAGTTCATGTGCCTGATAGCAAAAGCTGAAAAAAATTTTAATATAAAAAATAAAATAAAAAGTGCAGTTTGTGAAAGGTTGGCTTACAGAATACAAGAAAAATCTAAATGAGGAAAAGCATCTCTAAAATGATCAAATCTTCCATCCATTATTGGAAGCACCATATTTTATAGGATGCTAGATTGAAAATTAAACATTTGCATGATTTCTGTGTTGCCAGAATCTATTACAGATTCTCAGACATGGAAAATATTTAATACATTTGATTTTCCATGAAAGCTTTAAGTTCCTGGGAAACACCAGGATGAATTGCGAGGTTAAAGCTAGAACTCAGATACCTGAAAGTCTCAGGAAAATTTGGGAGCAGGCAAATTCTTTTTCTTATTTTTAAAAAATCATTTATTTATCTATTTATTGTTACATTTTCCCACAAACATTTACTTTACGTATAAAACAATTTTTGCTCATATGCCATAGGTCTTGACAGTTAATAAACAACTTTCAAAGTTTAAAAAAACTGAATTTTAAAGATAATTTTTTTTATAATTTTGTTTGTGACTCTATAACAACAGAGATAGTAGGAGATAGTATGTTTTTAAATATTTTTGAGAAAATATTTACATGTCAAACTGTTGTAAAGCAAACACTCAGCACACAATTCACACATAAACCTTCTCAATTCAGCCCTGCCTACCTAGTAGTCTGTGATATACCATCTGCTAGCAAAGATTAGTTTCTTTTTCTTCCTTCAGTCTTCCTCAAGGTAATTCTCTGGTTGTGGCTGCTCTTTTGCTGTCTTTACTGATTACAAAGCTGGGCTGGTAAAGTCCAGTTTATTTTATGGTATGAATTCTTTCATGTAGTTTCTCTAATCCTCTCTGCCAGGAAGAACTGTTTATGGTGCCAGGCCATCTTTCTAAGAGCTTTGGTTAGCTTACTTGAGATCTACCTTAGTTCCATAGTTTTCTAATTTAATCTTCAGATATGACATTCCAGTCAAGGCCCTGTCCAATAACGAGTATTCCCAATTTCTCATTCAAGGCAACAGATATTATTTAACTTATGTAAGCAACCATTCTGCCACAAATAAGAATACTCCCAGATATTTTCCAATTCCAGAGGGGTCAGGAAGGGAGGAAAGTTTATGTTTCCATTTAAAGAAATAAACAGACAAGAAGAAAAAACATTTTAACAAATTCCTGAACCTATCAACAGCTCAAAAGAAAGCAAAATCCTTAAATTGGGAAAACCAAGCATAGAAAAAAAAAAAGTCAAAATTCTATTTTACCAGTTCAGTCTTACGTAATTAACCTCTCTTCTACCATGCTATTGTGGTTTGATCTTTTCGTTTAAATCCTGGAAGATAACATTTGACATTATTATTGATATTTCTCATCCCTAGCATTAAGTTGATCCTTTTCTTGGTTCCTTTTTGTCCTCTTATTTATGTATGTGTGTCTTTAGTTTTCCTGGTAAAGCACTCCTTTCAGAACTTCTTGAAGAGCTTGTCTGGTGTTGGTAAATACTTTCAAGTTGTTTATCTGAGAATATTTTTAATCTTTTCTTCCTATATGAAGGATAATCTTGCTGGGTATAATATTCTTGGTTGAAACTATTTTTCACTTAACACTTTGGATATTCTTGCCCTATTCTTTCCTTCCTCACATTGTTTCTGATGTTAGACTGATGGGATAAACTTTATAAGTAACCTGACATTTCTCTCTTGCCAATTTTAGCATCTTGTCTTTGTGGATTTTGCCAATCTGGCTATGATGTGCCTTGGAGAATATCTACTTGGGTTGATTCTATTAAATAACTTTTGTATTTCTTGGGTCTGAATATTTGACTGCCTTTCTAGATTTGGAAAGTTTTCTTCCAGGATCATGGACTAGATTACCGATGCCCTTATT